GTCCTTGCATTGCTGGAAAGGGTTAAGTCAATCAATATTAGTCATTGCACAGCGTGGCTGTTACTGTGTGCAATGTTCTCCTGGTTCTGCTCACTTCACTCAGCATCAGTCCATACAAGTCTTTCCAGGTTTTTCCGAAGTCTGCCTGTTTGTTCATCATTTCTTATAGCACAATAGTATTCCATCACATTCATATACCACAACTTGTTCAGTCATTCCCCAGTTGATGTGCATCCTCTCCATTTCCAATTCTTTGTCACCACAAAAAGAGCTGCTATAAATACATTTGTACACGTGAGTCCTTTTCCCATTTTTATGATCTCTTTGGGACACTGCCCTAGAAGTGCTATTGCTAGGTCAAAGCAACAATCAGTTTTAAAAGAGCATTTGTTATGTGCCCACTTTGTGCCGGGCACTGTGCTAGGTTCTGGGGAGACAGATACAGAGAATTAAATGACCCTATTTGCAATGGGTGGACATTCTAAACCACATTGCTATGTAAATAGATGCAGAGTTTTGATGAAATGTAGCACTTCGTAGCATATACGGACGAAAAGAAAGGGACACACCCGGACAGAAGAGGGAGACAGAGGAACACTGGGAGAAGCAGGTAGAGGTTTTGGGTGGAGAGAAGGCACTCAGGGTCATTTTAGGGTCACAGACAGAGCGTGGAGGGCGGGCACACTCAGTGAGGGAGTGACCGGACGCTTGCTCCCTTTCCTTTAAAATCTGAATCTGGGCCTCCGTAGGGCGCCCCCATCAAACTGTTCCGCCCTCTCGGCGATTTAACCAATCATCTTCTGAAGGGGGTGGAGCTAGCCTCGTCTTGACCCAGCCTCGTCCTTTGGAATGTAAACACGGTCGGGCACCGTTCAAATAAGCCAATCAATTCTCAGTAGCCGTGGTGATTGGGTCTCTCCAATTCGCAGGGTTTTTTTTTCCTGTGACCTTCATTCCATGCCTTCGGCCCCTCCCCCGCGCGCAAGATGGCGGCGCCCATCCGATTGGAGGCCGCGGCGGCAGCATCCGGGGGTGCTTGAGAGGGGGCGCCTCGCCTCTCGTACCCCTCCCTCCCCGCCCCTCCCCCCTGCCCCTCCCCCCCTGCCTCCCGCGAGGTCGCGAGCCCGGAGAAAGGGGACCGGGCGGGGACAGGAGGCTCCTTGCGGCCGCCTCACGCGCGGCTCCCCATCCCGTTCAGCCTCGGGGCCGGGGACCCCCGCCTTCCCTCAGGCCGAACCGCTCCGGGCCCCGGCCCCGGCCCGGCCCGACCCGACCCGACCCGACCTTCGCCCCGGCCGGTGTTTGCGTGTCTTGCCCATCCTGCGGCTCGCGCGCCCCCTCAGTCACGACCCTGCTACCGGGCCCAACAACTGACCCTCGGGAGCGCCCCCGGCCGGCCATGGAGGCCCTGTACCTGGTGTTGAACGGGATCGGCCTGGCCTTGGACGTGCTCAACTTCTTGCTGGACCTCAACTTCCTCCTGGTGTCCTCCCTGCTGGCCGCCCTGACCTGGGTGGTGACCTTCGTCTACAACCTGCCGCACACGGTCCTGGCCGGCCTCCTGCACCTGGGCCGTGGGGCGCTGCTGTCCGTGTCGGCGGCCGTGGAAGGCCTGGCCCGCCTGCTCCTGGGGGTCCTGCAGGCAGCGGGCGGCCTGCTGCGGGGCTGCTGCTCGGGCCTGGAGAGCCTGACGGTGGTGGGCCACCTGGCCTTGCACGTGGCCGCGAGGGGCAGAGAGCTGGTTCATCGGGGGGTCCTGAGCATGGTCTCCTCCAGCCATGCCCTGCTGCGCCAGGCCTGCGACGTGTGCGCCATCGCCATGAGCTTGGCTGCCTACGTGGTCAACAGCCTGGTCAACATCTGCCTCATTGGGACTCAGAACCTCTTTGCCCTCGGACTGGCCCTCTGGGACTCTGTGATGGGGCCGCTGTGGAGGGTGACCGATGTGTTGGGAGCCTTCTTTGCACATGTTTCGAGCAGTGCTGTTGCCATGGCAATTCTTCTCTGGACGCCTTGCCAGTTGGTACTGGAGTTAATAGCCTCTGGCACCCGTCTTTTGGCCAGTTTCATGCTAGCTAATCTCTCTGGCTTGGTGTTGCTGGTGGTAGTGTTGGCAGTGACTTTAACCATCCTACACCCAGATCTTGCCATTCGGCTGGCAGTCCGGGTAACTGAACAGCTTCATGCCCTGCCTTCTTACCATCGGCTCCGTGGGGATATGGTACGACTCTCTCGCTTAGCGCTAGGTTCAGAGTCTTGGCGCAGGGTACGGAGCCGGAGCCTGCAGCTGGCAAGCTGGCCTATTGTTGGTGGAGGAGGAGGAGGGGGGGGTGCCCCTGGGGCCCCCCAGGGTGGGCCAAGGAGGGGGCCGCCTGCCAGAATCCGGGGACACGAGCAGCCTCCTGACCCAGTACCCAGGCTTCCCTTTCGGCCAGAGGAAGGGACAGGGGCAGCTCGAGTAGCACCTGTCAGGGGCCGGGAAAGACTCAATGAGGAGGAGTCACTACCTGGGCATGACCCATGGCAGCTGCTGAAGGAACAAGAGGAAAGAAAGAAATGTGTCATCTGTCAGGACCAAAGCAAAACTGTGCTTTTGCTACCATGTCGGCACCTCTGCCTGTGCCAAGCCTGCACTGAGATTCTGCTACGCCAGCCAGTCTATCAGCGAAATTGCCCACTGTGTCGCCAGGGTATCCTGCAGACCCTCAACGTCTACCTCTGAGGGCTCTGCGCCCACCCCAACTACCCTCACCATGTTTTTTTTTTTCCTTTGGGGAATTCATTCTGCCTTTCCCACTGCCCTTCTCTGAGTAGGTGGGTACCCTGTAACCCTGCTGATCTAGAGGCCATCTGGACTCACATTCCAAGCCTTTGAAGCCATAAGGACACAAAGATTCCCTTTTCTTCACCTTCTTAGAGTTAAGGGAACAGAGAAGCAGGCAGACTTTAGTTAGGCCAGGAAGAATGGTGGTGGTGGAGGAATGATGACATAGTTTCTCTATGCCTTCTAGGACCAGGAAATTTTAGGGGTGGTGAGGACTGGAGCATCTGTATCACCTATGCAAGTGCCCCTGAGGCTACAACCTTCTGGGCTCCTGCCCAGATGCAAATCTTTGTGTTGGGCCAGAGGCCCTGACCTTGCTTCTGGTTTTCCTCTTTGAGGCCTGTTATCTTGGCCCATCTTACTCCCTTGCCTAGGCCCTCCTGCCAGAGCAGATCTGCCTGCTACTTATTTGGCTGCTGAAGATCATTGGGAAGATCTTTGGCTTTTGTAGATCTTTGACCTATGCTATCAGCCAATTTTCTGCCTTCTTGGGTATCCAAGGGTAGGGAGATGTGGGGGTCTTTCATTTGCTCTCTACTGCTGAGAGTTGCCCCTGCTCTCTCAGTATGACTTCTTCAACACCCAAAAGCTAACGAGGCCAATGCTGCCCTGGGGAAGAAGAGAGAAAGAGGCTGAGGATCCTAGATTCCTTCAGTGTTTGTCTTTTGGTCCCTCTTGCACCTTGTCTTCATTGGGAGTCCAGAAGAGAACAGTCAGAGCTCCTATATCCTCATCTCCGTAATTCCACATATGAAAATGACATTCCCACTAGTCCTCTCTCCCTTTTCTGGGGAGCACAGGTTCCACATTCCACATGAGTTCTGGGTCCAGGTACTTCAAGAGGGAGGGACTGATAGTATATTCCTGAATATTTACACTGTTACAGTTTATTCCTGAATAAAGTCTCTTCCACAGCCCTCTGCCTCTGTGTGTGGCTAGGACTGTGAAGATATCCCTGTTGGCACCGGAAACTTCCACCTTTGGCACTTTTCTCCTGGAGCTGGAAGAGGGTGGCTGTTGGGGAATTTGGCTTAGATTGCGGTCTCCAGCCTTCCCTTTTCTCCTCACCTCCAGTCCTCGTGTCTGACAGGGCATACTTGGCATCTGTTCCCACAAAAACTATCTCAGTAGCTTTGGAAAGTTTCCTTTTGCCTTACTTAGAATAAGTTTTATGAGGAACAGAAATTCAAGATCTCTTTTGTACCTGACCCAGTCTCTTGTCTGGTTAGTCTCTCCTACTCCCTCTCAGAAGTTTTGAAGATTGCTTTCCTTACTTCCTAGGTCTTCAGGGGAGTTGTTGCTCACGTTGTGTCCTGTTGATCTGGGGCCACTCCTCTGAGCTGGAAGTAGAAGGAAGGGACCTCTGGGTGTCTCTGGACAACCAAAGCTCTGTCCTAACCTCAGTTTTCTTTTTAGACCCTTCCTCCCAGAGAGTCTGGAGGAGGTTGAGAGGTGAGTTAAGGCATTGCTGATTAGTGAAAAGGTGGGTAGCTGTCAGGACGGAGAGTAGAGAGGAGATGATTAGAAGAGGAAAAGACTACATCTTTGGACTTGAGGTTTTTTGTGACTAGACCAGAGTACAGAATGTGGCTTCAGTCTACCCAGCAACAGGCCCCCAACTTGGAGGTGGGGTGAGGAAGGGAAACGGTTCCTAACCTTCACCCCAGTGTACTTCTAAGGTTGAAGTTAGAGTCTCCTCTTGAAATAAGTTCCAGGGTAGAGATGAGCTTAAGGAGGCTGGGGAAGAGGAGGAAGTGGGGGTGGGAGTGGGAAGGATGCCTGGTTCCCTGCAGTTTGTTTAATCTTGGGATAAATATTTATGGGAATAGATAAACTTCCTGAGTGTGAAGCAAAGACCCTTTTTAAACCCTTTCAGCTTCTGGGCTGCTGGGCTTTGTGCCCAAAACCAGAACGTTAAGGAGGAATTTGGGGCTAGCAGCAGTTGAGTGGGAGTGTGGCTGGGTTGGGATACCATGCTACCCTAATGTCAGGAGATAGATAACCTGGAATACCAGAGTGAGGCCATCTCTGGTGGGCGAGCTCAGCCCACTGTACTGAAGGACTTTGAGTGCTGTGTCCAGATTCATTACTCATTTTGCTCTGTGGTCCTTCCACTAGTTTTCCCCCCGTTCATCTGAAACACACCCCAGGACCTAACTTGGGTGGTTAGGCCTGATCACGTCTGTCTGATCTAGTCTGCCATCCCTCTCCCCAGAGCTGTACGTGCTCTGGCTGTGCTAAGAATGGGAGCAGACCACGTTTCCTTGTGGTCCTTGGCTCGCGCTGTGCCGTCCTGGAGGCAGTTAGTACCAAGTTCCCATAACTCATGTCTGAATAGTGTTTACGTGCTTTACATTTATCTCTTAATCCTCACAACAACCCTGTGAGGTAGGAGCTATCATTATCAGCCCCCTTTTACAGAAGAGGAAGTAGGCCCGCCTCTGGTCATAGTGTTTTGAGTTAGGATTTGAGTCCGGGTCTTTCAGACTTGCTCAGCAATCTGTTCCCTATACCATGCTGTTTTTCAAGCTCAGGACCCTGCTACCCTCTACTTCTGTTTACTTTGGGTTATCTCACCAACTCAGTTGGAATGGGAGAAATACCCCATTCCTCGCTATAGTATGGTACGAAACTGGGTAAGCTGTCCTTCCAGAAAGGTGAATATCCTCTAACCACCCGAGAGCAACTGGGAATGGAGATCCCGGCTTGTGTTCTAGTTCCAGAATTGTATTTGTGTGAAGGTAGAAGGTGGCAAGGAAGTGGTACTCTCATGGATACAGGCCTTGTTCCTGTAGATGTCCTCTTTTCAACTCACATGGTTACCACCCGAGTTCAGGTCCTTACCACCTCTCTTCTGGACCATTACAATGGTCTTCTGGTTGGCCTACCTGCCTCATGTATCTCCCCACTCCAGTCTATCCTCCACTCAGCCGTTAAAGTTATTTTCTTGAAACGCTGCTCTAACTGTGTCCCTGCCCCTCACCCACACACATTCCGTAAACTCCAGTGGCTCTCCATATTCCCT